TAATGATATAATTTTTAGGCAATTGCGTAATTCAAGAGTTCACCTTATAATCCTGCATTTTCAATTTTTTATTATTTCATTTTATTTACTATACTGTGATACTTTAAACTAGTACTATGATATTGTGCATTATTTCCACTTTTTTATTTTATTATTTTTCCTTGATATTTAACAGGTTTATTCACTTATTTTAAGGCTTTTGCATCTTTTCCTTTAATTTTTTTCCATTTTTCTCTGATAGTACTTTCTCACAACGCTGCCTCGGTGTCCTCATGTCTCGAGGCCACCGGACGAGGTTGCCTAATGGCATCACGAACTCAAGGCATGTAGCAAAGAGGGTCAGGTTTCTGTGAACCTACTTCCAATTGCCGGTTTCTTATATATGGGAAGAGCCTTTTATTCAGATGTGCCGAGATTGCTCGAATAGATATGACCTCTAACTTTTCTTGATTCTCTCTTCCTTATATCGCCATCCGAGTTCCGTTTAATTCTGACTTATTTGCTGAAAACAGCTCGTCAAAAAACCCTCTAATTCCGTCCATATGCAATTATCAAATCCTCCGCTTATAATAACTTGATTGCATTTATTGTGTGTTGCTGGCCTAGTTAGTTGTTGATGATTCACACTTTCGTTTGCACATTTTCATGCACAGTATTCGCTTAATAAGACCATACATGCATAAAGTTATTTGCTCCTTCTGTGCACTACTCCATGGCCTTAGACAGTGTTGTTATTTCGTTGCTATTGTGTGTCGAATAGCGCATGGTTACATGTGAGGTGGGAGCAGCTTTTCCAGTCAAAAATGTAACACGAACTCGAGCAAACGCCCAGCAAAGACAACATTGAATGGGCGGGAAGTTGAAAAGTGACGAGGAGGAGGAGGAGGAGGAGAAGAATAAAAAAACGAGATCCATTCGCTCGGACTGGAAGTAGTTGTTGCTGTATCATTCTCACCAACTGTGAAATGACTTGGCTCGTCTTAGTCCCACATCCACTTGGCACCATTCGCCTGATTTTATTTTCACATGTTATCTGTAATTAAACTTCTGCTATTGTTCCATAGCATGAAATTGATGCAGTAAATGGCTGAGAAAAGCCAAAATGCTGTTCACGACTTTATTTCTCATGGTTTGCTCGACGAACAACATTATCAAATGCTCTCCAAAACGGTACCACGACCTTCGAGGTATGAGACTACCAAAAGTTATTGCAAAGAAGAGGATTTTCCTTTCACCTTTTTTCAAGGTTCCCTCCGCCATGCTGAGCTGGACAGTTCGGGAAAGATTAACTGCGTCCTCTGGCTGTGTCGACTGCCAGCCGGAACAGATCATAAAGTCAACGAGAACGGTTTGCATTCGCCGACACCGAAGTTGTCTCCTGCGCTACGGGAGGACAAACATCACAGCTTCCGCCTACCAAAACAAGCCTCCTGGAGGA